GGCTGCAGTTTGAAGAACTACTTCTCCCACAAGAAAATCTACATTCACTTACGCAACAAGCAAGAGCAGACATTGGAAGAACGGAACAGGATCTCCAACAGAACTGCACAAAGTTACCAGTGGTGAATTAAAACCTAACAGAAGAATACTGAGCAGGTGAGACTGGTAACAGAAAATGATTAAAACAGGGAGAAGACTCTACTGAGGTGCTGCAAAATGTGTGGGCACAAACCCAGGCTTGCTTCACTTCAAGGATCTAGTAAAAGCAGCATGTAAAATTATATTTGGAGAGGACAAAATAAGAGGCGTTTAAAACTCCAGTGAGGACAGTGAAGTACTAAAGAACCTGAAGAGGTCAGAAATATGGCAGGAAATGAAATGGGATTCAACCTACAAAATCGCAACCTGGTTCACCTGGGGAAAAATAATCCAGAACACAAATATTAAATGACAAGGAGGTATTTGCAAAGCCGTAAAATAAAACAAAACATAACGCCCCCCCCCCCCCCTCTTCAGGGAAAATAGCAAGCAGAAAACTGGATATCAATTTGCAATGTGATATGGCAGTAAAACCAGCCAACATAATTTTGGATGACTTGCAGAGCAGCTTGTCACAGAACAGGGATATGACGGTCCCTTTTCACACAATACTGATGGGAACTTACAGGCTGGGGGGATTTCAAAGTAACTCAGCAGCAGCAATGGAAGAATCTGAATAGACTAATGACAGAAGAATGTAAACCCATAAAATCAAGTTCGGCAGCGACTGAAGATGGGAGGTAGGGCTGACACTGAGGAAGAGCCAATGTCTGCAGCCGTTTAACAGGGTGCCACAGGAGTAAAATGGACAAACTTGCTCAAAAGGAAACAGATCATTTGAGAAAACAGTTCATTGTAAAGACCTGTTATCCCACTGGGAAAAAACAGGAAAGAGGATATGAAAGAAATCACACTGCCCAAGTCATTTATAGATTAGAGTGGTAAATCAGCTAACCTGTCCTGTATGCAACATTTCCAGATTTACATAACACAATGAGTACTAGCCGATAAATATATTTTCTCTCTGGCTTCTAGGAAAATCTTAGGAAGGGATTACCAGAAGAATAACATCGCATTCACCAGAGTCGTGGCCTGTACATGACTGACATTACTGTAAAGACTCTTGAAGTCAGATCTAGATCAAGTCCAAGGTCAGGATAGAATCTGGGACACATACAGAGGTGTTAAGGTTCAGGCAATATTTATCTAACTTGAGAACCTTGAACTACTCTTCGCAGTGCATTAGCTGAGTTGGTGTTCCATACCAGGTGCGTATTTTCTACTACTTCTCAGTGTCACAGATACTCATGCTCTCAAGTCTACTGCTTTTGACATTGCAATCGAAATCACAGCTAAGAGAGAGATGGGCGCACAAAGGAAAAAAAAATTAAAATCACCTGCTGTTGACATTGTCTCAAACTTTGCAACCTCACTGCACATTTCCAAGTCATGGCACAAAAGCGGTGAACGAAAGAACAACTAGCGCAGGCTGCTTCTTTCCAGCTGAAGTACATTTAAAAGAATCAAATATTTACGTAAGAATTTTCTGTGACCGTTAATGGCTTGCCAGTCTCAAACTATTCTTAGCTAATACAGTCTAGTTCCCTGACAGAATTCATTAGAACTGGGTAGGTCATGAAGTTATCTCCTTACTTCTAAGTTTCACATTGAGACTGTTGGAAAAGAACACAAACCCTTGCAACAACAGTTCAAGAATAATCTTAAACTTGCACTGGCCTGGCAGAAGCCCGAGAGAAAGCCATAAGGGTAGTTTCCTGCACTACTTGTTAAGTTAAACACACATCTAAATATAAATGTTCTTTACTTGTGCTGCACTAGGGCTTGAAACACGTTTCTAGGAGAGAGCTTTCCAAGCATATCTAGAGAAATAACAGCTTTCCTGTTTTGAACTGGTCTTTAAGACTTTTGGCAGTATATGACAAATATGGAAATAATCAGAACTCTTGTATGTGACACTAGAGTACTTGGAACATGTAAAACCCACTCAAAAAGAGGTATCAAGTCACAAGCATTAACTGTTTATAAATTAGATATATGCTGCATTGTCAACAACTATTTTATGCTCTCCTCTATGTTAATATTTAAAAGTATTAAGGCAGCTTTATTCATCAATAACAAGCATAATAAATTATATGATTACATAGTAAGTTATAAGAATAGCTTTGAAAAAGTCCTACTTAATGTCAGATTTAAAAAGTATTTTCTTGTACTTTAAACACATCACCTTTTAAACTACCACCATAAGCTATAAAGGCATCGTCTGCATCTCAGCCGTATTAGTTTGGCTCCGTGTTCCAAACACAGGGTTTGTGCTAGCTGCGTGAGTCCCAGTACAAATTGACACCTTTTGAAGCCAAAAGAGAATTCTGTCCATGTAGCACAATCACAGTAACACAAGCTACAGTCTTCCTCAGTGTTCTATTCAATTCAGTGACTTTGCTGGAATTATAACATGCCTTTTAGGAAAGCCTACAACCTCAACTAAAATTCTTCATCTCACTCAAAACTGATCCAGTGGTTGAAGTCAAGCAGCTTAAATTCAGGGCATTTTAAAAAATTCAACCATGTAATTAGAGAATTGCAAGGGGCCTATAATTTACGGTCAGGTATCATGCTATTTAAATGCAACTGTAATTAACTGGTTGACTCAACTTTGCACTGGTACTGGTAACTTGCACATACACTGTCAGTCTCAAGATAAGGTCAAGGTGGCTCGCACCGTGCTTATTAACTCACACTCTTCAATTGTTCAAAACGACACTTGAGATCAGTTACTGCCATAGACTTACATTCATCAGGTTTAGCTGGGTTTGTGTACTTAGCTTGGAAGAGTCTACACAGCCCAGCATGCTTCAACAGAATATTCAACTGGAGCCAGCAACTTGGGTTTGGAACACTGTTCTATTTTGATTCCAAACCACACATATTTGAACAGTTAACAAATGCGGCAGGGGGATATTGGTACACAGCAGTCTAAAAAATGTACAAATCCTTTGTTGGTTTTTTTTTTTTAATACGCCCGGAAGAACAATTTGGTTGCTTCATTATATAAGCACATAAAAAAACCCCTTACCAAACAAAACATGACTGCAAGGTTGCTTATAGGTGGTGGTGTGTTTTTTGTTTTTTTTTTTTTCCCCTCCTACATTATCTACATATTCTCAAGTAAGTTTTGATTGGATTTTGTAGGCTGGAGAAGTGTAGTAAGCAAGAAAGGGTTTTCTTTTTGTTTGTTTGTTTTCTCCTCCTAGAAGGTTGCTGGGTCAGAAGCTTTTTGCAGAGTGTGTGTAAACACTAAAATAATTTCATAGTCCTCATCTAGTACTTCAGAGTCTCATGGAAGCAAAAATGTGGTTCAGCTCATCTGTCTTAACCTATTAACTGTCTTAATCTGTCTTAATCTATTAACTGACCGTTAACAAGTTAAAGGGAAATATGTCCCACAGGCAAACACAAGCTAGAGATAAGGTTGGTTGGAGGCCCTCTCCCAGTTGCAGGCCCTCTCCCAGTTGCTATCTAGTTCGTCAACTGTCGGTAACATTGCTACGGTGCATAGGCTGTATCTCACAGAAGTATGTCAAGACATGAATTTTAAGTATATGCGTATCTTGAAACAAACTGTAATAAAAACACAGCTCAACTGGTAAGACTACTAACAGTACAGACACCTTTAAATAAATTAGTCTGTACAGTCACAAAATTAAGACACGTACAAGAAAAACAGTAGATGTGTTTTCTCAGGAATGCACTTAAGAGTTCCCATGTCATTTTATGCATTCATATGTACTTATCAGATAGTAATCCTTGACCTCTTGGTTTTCCAAATCAAGCTAAGTACCAAATACATAAGATGTACATGTAAACACTTCCGTTTTCACAACAAAAGTACACCTAGGTTCAACTCTGCAAAGCTTCCTGCACCTCACTCACACTTCATCAAGCTTATTATTGTTCTTTACTGAAACACTGATGGCAGACACTTCAGGGCTCCAAGCGTGGCATAATAAAACACAGGAAATGGAAAAGACAAATGGGAAGACAAAACAACCAGAAAACCCAACATTTTGCAAACATTCTTCTCCAAGTTTTCTGCCAATAAATTTACTTAGGATTTTCTTTCACTTCTTCAGCACGCAGGATCTCACGTACATACAACAGGACTTCTTGGCATAGTACTATCATATAAAGTAAACTCTTGGCCACAAAGAGTAAAAAGAATCTTCTCTCAGAGCAGCCTTTTTAGAACTTAGCCCTTTCCCTCTTCCACATTCATAGTCGGTGCTATTGAACATTCATTTACTTTAAACATAATCATCACCATTTTGTAGAGCCCACATTTTGCGAGTAACTGAACACAGGAAGCAAGCCAAAGCATCTGTCCTGATGTGCCGACACTCAGCATCCACATATGTGTGGGTAAACAGATAAGCATGTGGACATAAGGGCATATATCCACTTTTTGTGAGTGACGACAATTGTACAAAATGAAAATTAGAAGATAATGACACTATATTGATGCCAGAACTTTTCAAGCCTTTGAAGAATTGTTTTTCTACACAGCTAAATGGAAGCTGGAGGTAGAGCAGGGAGAACTCTTCCATTTCAACTCTGCATAAGGATTCCATCGTGGAAGTTTAATCTCATTATATATAGACTTTTAAAATTTTTGCTTTAATCTAATGCTGTAGCTTAATAATTCCTATTTTATGTTGCACCTTTTCCGTGCAAATTTCACTCTTGTTATAGTATCAACAAATGCCATCTGTTAAAGAAAAAGCAAATTGAGTTAAACGTGCTACCTCACTAATAACAGCTCATAGTAAATTTGATTAAATTGTTGTTTCTTCGGGTAAGGAAAGATAATCGGATCTGAAATTGCGGCAGCTGTTCATACGCATTTTTACAGCACTACAGATTGGAAATATAAACTGCTTACTGACCTGGGGCCACTTAGGGTGGCAGTGTCCCTCACTGCCTGTGCAGTTTCCGAGGCGAAGTCCAGAGCTCCAGCCACAGGCTTGGTTACTGTGCCCACCAGCCCTTTGCCAAGGCCCGATATGAAACCACTGACGCCTCCTTCGGTTTTCACACCTTCAACTGTCGAAGTTATGACACTCGTCAATCCTCCAATAATACCTAGCAAAGAGAAGAACAGCAGAGCAGACCAGAAGTATTGCCTCTCAAAATTATACAGCCTTGTCACAGCTCATGCTGTCTGCCTAAAGGATTCGCTGTCAAGCTCGATAGACACGTACTGTGCCTTTAGCGTAATGCGAAAACTGTTTCACAACTGATGGCGTTAGCTACTAACTTTATACTTTGTATATGTAGTATACACACGCATATGCACAGACAATAATATCCTACAGAAAAAGATTTAATTCATTATTAAATATGCATTTTTTGAAGTATTTCTATACTGTTTTATTTCCCAAACAGTCCTCATCTATTCCTGCGGTGAAGCAGCTGGTTACAACGTGACAAAATTCTATTACCACAAAAGCTTATATGATTTTAGACAGAAAATAGAAAAGTGCATTTCTCCAGCAGAAAAAGTCAGTTATTTTAAACGAGCATTGTGTGACTTTTAACTGTGATGCTGCCGACAGACATTCCTGTGCACATTTCCGTTGATGAATCTGAATGCTCTGAAGAAGTCAAGAACCTACTGAGGCTTCAAAAGACTTGGAACAGTTCTTATTATCCGAGAACACGCTTTAATTGAGGAGGGGTGAGATCTGTAGAGTATCACAATTTTTAGTGAACTGGCTGACGCACTCATTTAAAAGTGAGCGTTTACCACCCTTTGGCTCTTCAGCTTTCAGCAGCCAGGCACTCTTTTAAGGTCTGCCACTGAAGTACAGACCAGGCAGCTTCTTAACTTCCAAATTCAAGAAGAACGAAGTATTTAAACCATTTCTCCTGAGTAACTACAGTTCATGATTAATTCCTACATTTCAACAGATAGGATTTAACCCGTATTTGCTTTTTTGAAAAAAGTGAATGGGAAGCATTTCAAAACTCCACAGGATTAAACTAAAACAGTCCCGCTAATTGCTGGATAGTACAACACAATTAAGTGCTTTTATAATTGACTTTTCAGCAAAGACTTATGTACTTCAGTTTTCCTGCATTTATACCAACATAATTTATATCAGACTTTAGAGCACACTGGCGTGAGCAAAACCTCTCTCATGATCTATTTAAATACCTGCAGTGTCTCTTCATGACAAAAGTCCAGCATGAAGACTTTTGCTCAGCACAGAAAAGATTGCTGGTTTAGTGAAAGTCAGATTATCTTTACACAGGCTGCAACAGTTGCACAAAAAGACTGACATTTAAACAAAGTGACTCAAGATGATGCAAAATATAAATATTTGATTTAAACTTGGCTTGTATTGATTTAACTTTCTTCAACAGATAAATCATGAACTAAATTGATATGAAATTCTAGCCAAATTAAGACTTAGTCCGCTGCCTTTTACACAATTTAATTTCTCTAGTTCTTAGTAGACTTAAAAAAATACAACACAAAACCACAAAATAACCCAACTGGTGAAATGTTACTTCAAACTGATGGCCTGATTCTGAGGAAACTCAGGTTTCCAGAACTGAAAGCAAACATAAGAAAGCTATAATCCAACCACACTAATTTTTAAGGTCTGGCCCTCAAAAAGACTGTTTGCATGGGTATTTTATGACTCTACAAAGAAACTGAAGTTTTTGATTAAATTTCTTTGAAATTTCATTTTAATTTGCAAAAAAGCTTTTACTTAGTTACATGTGAAAATACCTTATTCTGAAATGTAGTTTCTGTCAACTTCAAAACCAAACCACCCTCCCCTCCCTGACCTGCAAGCATTCAAATTCAAATACAAAGCCTACTGTAGCTCCACTTCCCTGGCTGCAAATAAGCGCCCAAGAGTAATACAAATTGTTCTTTTCAATCTGATCATTACTTTCAAGAGAGTTAAAGTTAACTGAGTTTAACTGAGTTACAGTTACAGCTAAGGGTTACCATGTGCAAGTCCATGGATTCCAGCTACGAGATGTTCTCCACTAGTTGCAGCATGATACCGGATGTATTCTCGTTCGGTTTGATGTCTGTTATCCATTGTCTTTCCCAAACCATCTGACAAGGTCCCAGCGAACTGTAAGACAGCAACCTTTTCTGTTATTAAAAGAACAAAAGGTGTTTCTCTTCTGTAGATTTACTGAAGAAAATTCCTAAATTCTAGTTGTGAAATGCAGATTTATACAACTCATTTTGTTCCACAGACACAGTCACTCCAGCTTTTTTGCCATATAGAAAGCTCTGAAGTACATTAACCTGTGCTTTCCATTGGTGCAACTGAAATCCTGAGATGACAGTCAAAAGCTAAGTAGGTGCCCAACTGCAGTGGTCAAGCCAAAATAAATGAAGTCTGTGAAAGATGTACCAGAAATGCCAGTGACCCAACTGTAACCTTTCAAAACCTCACAAGAATGTTATTTAGATACAAAGCTTTTCTTCTGCAACGGTATGTGAAAAGCTGCAAGGTAAATATGCCTGTCATGAAACTGAAACACTTGCAAGAGTTAATTAAATTCTTTTTAGTAACACAAGGTAGAAATGGCTCTATTGTGAAAAGAGTTGGTGGGGGAGCCACGGCACGTTCACTGCAGCAGATGGGGTAATCCGCTGAAAGATGGCTATGTTGGGAAGCGTCTGCAGGTACCACACACTGTAAAACAGAAGTCTGACTGTGTGTGTGGAGCATTTTTAACCCTTACACTTACCTTTAACAGTATGGGGGAAGACCTGAGACATATTTACAGATAAAAGAGGACATCTAAGTCCAAACAGGATTTGTTCTGAGAACTTTGACCATTACTGAGTACCAGTCAATGAAAAAGCATCAAATAAAAATGATCTATTGTGAACTGTTGACCTTTAGTTTGACGTAATCAGATATAAAACAGAAGCTTGGTGGAGGGAGGGAGGCAAGAAAAGGAGGCAAAAACCCTAAAACCTTACCTCATATTCAGGATATTGTTATAGAAAAGGAGTCCTAGCAGGCATTTTCCTGGAACAACCTCCAAAAACTAGCTACTTTTTGGTTACATGTAGTTGGTCATCTTCTGTACCTCGCTCAGCTAGCATCAGCATTCTTACAATCTCCTCCTTTCAATAAATGAACTCCACCACCCCCACCCCCCCTCCCCGGCAAAGGAAAGATAATTTAATGCTTTGTGGTGTCTTAGACTAGGGCTGGGAATGTCCCAGGTGCCACAGGAATGTCAAAGATACTCAATGGCTGCCGCAGTGGTGCGATCATTGCTGTCCTGCATGATCACAGCTCCTCTACAAGAAGCACTTCATTGTCAAGAACTGTACATGGACACTGCCCTTTCCATTGCTCAGCTCAGCTTTGCTGCATGTGCTATCCTTTGCGTCCGGATTAGTTATGTTAAGAAACCCTGTGTGATTAAGGTGTGCACCAGGGGAAACTAAACCTGGTGTGAAATTCTCATTCTAATGCACTAAAGATAAAAAAGAAATAGACAAGCAGTTAATTTATGTGCTTGATGCAATGAGGAAGTTCCCTTCCTTTTTCTGTCATTTTTTCCAAGGCTGCGTTTCTTTTTTGCTAATGCCATGATTTCCTAGTTTTAGATACTTCTTTCCAGCTCAAACTAGTCCAGTGGCTCCAATTATCTAAACAAGTAGACTTTAACAACATGAATGAAAATTAAATCCCATGACCCTTCTTGTGACTTGATCATATGGACACTAAACAGAGCATAGTCATCAGTGACTGAATTATTCCTGACCTCTTTGTGAACTTAGTGTATCTTTTTTTTTTTTTTTTTTTTTAAATTAGCCTAGAAATACAAACCAACCCAAAGCTATCAATTAACTATGTGTAAGGTTGGGTTTTTTTCTGGACTAACACTTTGCTTTAAGAGGATTAGAGTAGTTGCTATGAAAATTGAAAGGCCTTCAAAATTCAAACCTCATTAAATAATCTGTCACAGCCCGAAAATGATTTTTCAAGAACACATTTTGAAAGTCACCTTAGTGCATGATCAGACAACCAG